ATATATATATACACATACATATATAAACAAGTATATTATTATTACAAGAAGCGCTTAACGTTTCACCGGCCGTGCTCRTCTTAGCTTGATGCTACTGCTAGTTAGCCTACTGTTTTCATAGGTAAACAAACACAAGGTAGTTGGCAGATGATATTAATTTTAGCTTACACAGTGTTGTATAAAGTATCACAAAGTGATACTGCAGTAAAAGTACAAGTATCTTACTATGAAATTATTTTAGTAAGTTTTATTTAAAACAATAACAAGCCGGAATGAAAACAAGCAAAATTAAATTAGACGTAATGACTTTCTACTTCTTATGTTTTTTAAAAATGTAAGGAGTAGAAAGTAAAAAGTAGGCTGGAAAAATAATTACTCAAGTAGCTACAGATGACCAAATTTTCTRCTTAAGTACAGTAACAAMGTATCTTTTCTTAGTTATTTTACAACTCTGAGCTTACACATTTTTAATTTAAGGACATATGTGTTGATTTTGTTTAATACTTTTACTTAAATAAACAGGTCCCATAATTAATAATAGGTTATTTATGGTGATGTCCATAGAGGAGTAGTTTAGGATGAGTCTCACATTTTTTTATGTATTGGTGCAGATATTCATTCATTCATTCATTCATTCATTCATTCATTCAATCTGAACAGCTTTTACAGATTCTACACTTATCCCTGATAAGTAAAGCCAAGTGCTCCGTTTATATTAAGTAATTTAGTAATTTGCAGACCAGACTGAAGTCACGTGCAGGCCGGATGTGGCCCGCGGGCTGCCAGTTTAATGGTCCTTGTTTACAACATTTCCACAGAGCAGTACCTCAAAAGTCACTTGGTGTTTTTAAACTGTTCACGACCCTCATCAGAACTGCACCCAGGTTAGTAATTTATAGACCCTGTGTGGACTTCCCTGAGCCAGACTGTTTGTTTCGGTTAATGTTCTACAGTAAATCTAGCCAGCTGTGTGCTGCGGAGGCTGACTGTTTACACTCTGCTGGGGAGGAGGAGAGAAAAGTTGRCACTTATTGACGTATTTTAAATAGTTCCTGTTTTGGTATGTGTAGCCCGCTGAAGGCCGTTCACGCAGCCACTTTGAACCCGTGACTTGTTGCAGCGTGAGCGGCCGCAGGTTTCCCAACACTTTTGAAGCCCTTTTGTTGTTAGCTAACCCTGCTAACCTGCAGCTCGAGCGATATGGACTTCATATATTCTATCACGGGCAGCGGCGCGAGGGTTGTCAGAGAGGCCATTTCTCACGGACTGTGGCCCGGACCTGGACACGAGTCCGTCCAGGAGCCCGTCGACATTCTGCAGGACCACCCTGGGACTGGACAGGACCGACACTACGCCCCCCACTACAGGACAGGTCGGTCCAACTTTCAGCTGACAGAGCCGTGTTTGCGCTACAAAGCGAAACTCAAAACKTGCTTTAAAAATGGCCCGATTTAACTTATTTCTGCACCGGTGGCCGTGTTCTTACCTGGTACTGATTTTTGTCTCTGACAACACTTGAAATATCCCTCGAACATTTCGGCGTCGTTCTGTTTCTTTTGCGCTCATGATTTAAGACGGAATGTGAAGCATGAGGATGGTGCAGTGTCAAATGCTATTTTAAAAACTCAGTTTAAACTTTACAACAAATTTATTCTATAGACACGTATTACGTTTGAACATTTTAGATGTTGTAATGTTGAGTTGTTAGTCTTATTTTCGGAGGGTAACTGTTGTTTATGTCGGTACGTACACAACTTTTTTGCAGACGTCAGCTGTTTTAACTCCTTCGGTGCTTGTAAAGTTATTGTAGGAAGAGTGGTGCGAAATAGCCATATGTGAAAACTTGAGAAGTTTTTACCCAGGTTTGTTTGTCTCCATTGCCCACTGTTTTCACCATAAGGACAGATGACATTAGACTAGGGATACACTTTTTGCTTTTGCCTTGATTACTCTAAATAAAACAAAATACAGCTAAAGTCATAAAACAGGGACCGCCAACCTTTAACTAGGGATGTGGATAAATTTTTAATCCTACACCAATATTAAATCTGACAGCGGATTCCAAAAGAACATTTCAAACCCAACAAAATAACACCAAAACCATGTGATTATCTGAAGTTATTGATGTTTGTTTAGGTGAAATCAGCTCATGTTTTCTTGCTGCATTCACAGCAGAACCAATGTGTGACCATTTCACCTTGCTGTTTTCTATTTTTGCTCATAACTTCCTCAGTTTTCAAGATATCGACATGAAATTTTAGGAAAAGATTCCCATTCTGGTTTTTGTAGGAAGCATCTTGTATCCTAAAAAACTAATAAAACTTAATAATAGCCAATTCAAAAAGTAGCAGAAAAGGTATAAAATAACATTACAAGGCAAACTGTAGCATCAAATCAACTTAATGTGTCTTAGAAAGTAAGGAAATTAAAACAATTTAAAAACCATGTGGACATGTGTTTTGTAAACAAAGCTCCTCAACCAATGACAGCGTGTTAAATGTGTCAAGTGACGAAGACGAGCATCAAAACACTTTGCAACAAGCGCTGTTCCAGATTTAAAAAAACATACTTTGACGTTTCAAATCATTATCAAATTTGGAACAAGGGCAGATAAAATAATGTTCTTCATGGCAGATTATCTATTTAAGGGGTCACTAAAAAAAACTTGGGTGATTGATCCTCTTTTCAAAAAATTGTCTCTTCAAAATGCATCAACAAAAATTAAAAACTCAAAAGACGAGGCTGTAGCTAACTACCTGACGGCAGCCCGAGTTGTTGAAATTTGTAGAAATAATGAAGCAGGAGGAAATTACAAGCAAATGCACCGAGCAGCCTCGCAAAATCTGCTCACAGCAGTTTGTGAAGAAAATGGCAGCAGCTGCTGACGAAATGTCAACATCCCTACTTTAACTGAAGAAGATATATTTTTATTACATTTCCTACTAAAAAAAGAATAAAATAAAAAAGTGTCACAAGATCAACGTAACAGGATTAAATAATTTAAATTTCCATCCTCATATAACAGGGGTGCCCAAACATTTTCCCTGAGAGGGTCAAAAATGAAAATCGATCTGGGGGCTGCAGGCCAAACACAGTTATATATGAAAAGCAAATACTTCCTAAATAAAGTTGTTGTTGTTGTTTTTTTTTTAAGTATTAAGCTGGCAGGCAGTGTGGTCAGACTTTTCATAAATTAAAATTTTTGTATTTCAATTCAATTTAATAAAAAAAAACACTTTATTGATCCCAGAGGGAAATTAGATGTAGAAAAATTTGAAAGATTTGTGATCTTAAAAAGGTATGCAAATCTAGACGTGTGCTTAATTCTAATCTAAATGCCTCTTGTAGTTACTTGTATTTTATGCTTAATCTTAATATAATGCACAATAAATTACACATAATTAGTTAAGACAATCTGCAGCACAGTTCCTTGTATAATTGGATCATTGGTCAGGATGAAAGTGGAAATATAGTGTTTCTACATAAGACAGGAGAATACAACTTAGTAGCCAGGAAAACTGCTGGTGGGCCAAATCAAATGGCTTGGTGGGCCAATTTTGGCCCGCGRGCCACACTTTCGGCAGCTCTGTCATATACACTGTTCATTTTGCATGGTGACAGATTATCTGTTATGCAGAAACACACATGCATTCTCTTATGCAGAAAGAAAGTAAACCAGGCAGTTCTATGTAAGAAAATCTCACTCTTGTTTATAACTGCAGAACTAATTCAATGTTTCCAACATTTGTCTGCCTAATTTGGTTTGGAACAGAATTTTAAATCCATTTTAAATGTAGCTCATTGTCTTCCTCCTCACCATTTCCCCAAATATCCCTTGTAAAACCAGACATTTTAAACAATGTACCAAAGGAAACAGAATAACTTTTCCGTGATGCCAATGTTAGTTCCTGTTTCATGAAGGCAAAGGAAAGGAAGTGAAAAGGAAAAACAGAATATGTTTTTTTAAACAAGATGAAACCTCCAGCACAAATGTCCTCAGAAAGGGCAGCCTCAGTTGGCTGGGACAGAGAGGACTGGAARGAAAAGACAAACCCAGAATGACTGGTCCAGGTGTGGTTTGTCTGGGAGGAAAGAAAGAAAATCATGTTAATGACTGCAGTAACTATAAACACAGACAYGAAGAGTAGATAAAATAAAGACAGCAGCATAGTGAGGAAATTAAATGTAGGCGATTTTGGCAAAAAAAATCACGATTAACTAGCGTTTAGCTGATACCAATTAACATGACAATAGATGACAAATACGCTTGCAATTTTTTTTACTCTTAATCAGTTCCTCGGTGTTCTAAGATTATATCATCAGTCAAACTAGCTTCTTCATTTTAACAGGTTAAATGCTAGCTGTGAACTGAAACCCTCCTTTTCCACAATGTGTGGTGGCAGCATATTGTTAGTAATGAAATATGCCAAGGGCTGTTTGCATGACAGTGAGAAGGCATTACACACAAAAATATGTTGTCATATTGCAGTAATTGCAAAGTGACAAATAATTATTGACAGATTTTCAGACAATTAGTTGCACACAATAAAATTTTGCCCAACCCTAGAATATGTACATTTTGTCCTCCAGCAGGAACCTAACCCTAACTATATGATTTATCAAAAAGGAAAGTCTTCAGTCTAATCTTAAAAGTAGACAGAGTGTCAGCCTCACGGACACAAACTGGAAGTTGATTCCACAAGAGAGGAGCTTGATAACTCAAAGCTCTGCCTCCCATTCTACTTTTAGAAACTAGAGGAACCACAAGTAAACCTGCAGTCTGAGGCCCTGTTTACGCGCAAACAGTTTTTGGAAACCTTATGAAGCTGGTTTTCACTGAAGTACTCTGTAGGTGTGAAAGCGTGCATGTGCACACAGGCGACTGCAGCAAACGTTTCTTCTAAATAAACAATCGTTACAAKAAATTACAGACAGCTGAGTGTTTTTGTGTTACTCACTTTTTGCAGCATGAAGGAACAAAACCAAAAACCACCATCCTAGGTCCAAAGGAATGGTAGTTTATTCACTAGGTTGGGATTTAACTGTGATCATGCAGACACTGCATGAGCAGGGCATGAGTGAGATGGCATTGTGGTTGCCAGATAAAAACAAAAAAAAATTTGTTTTTTTTTTTTTTGCCCAACCTTTTTTGTACACATTTTCACCTGATACAACCCACACCTCATCTAACAGCACCCTCACTCATTATATGACAGTTTAGGTCAAAACACAATCATTTTAAAGGGACTGTTGTGCAACAGTTTACCATGTCCTGTGTGGCAACCCTGCATTACTGCAACAGTTCCATGTAAACTTGTAATTGTTTTGTTTATTCACACCAATAAACATTCMAAAACACCTGCATTTTCAGAGATTGGTCTCATGTCCAGAGGGCCTTAGTGTTTATTCAATGTTTATTGCTGTGAATAAAAAACAACAGTAAAAACTTACACATACAGAACCATACATACATAGTTGGCAACCATACAGGGTTGCCAACTATGGCACTTG